AGAGTTAATGGAGAGATGTCTTTATACTGGTACATGTACACCACCTGATCTGGTCATTAGAACATGAGGAGAAGTGAGGTTAAGTGACTTCCTTATATGGCAGGTAATCTTTGAATTATTTATTTAGTTATTTATTATTATTAATAGAGCTCTTATTCTTGTCTCTGTTTTCAAGATGTGTTGTGGCCGGAGTTTTCAATTTGGAATTTATTCTCTTCGATATTAACATACCAACAGAATTACAATAATATAAAGGTTTGTTAGCAATTAATTGAATCTTATAGCTGCATGTGTAGTGTACTGGTATGTCAAAACTATAGAGGGGGAAGGGGTTGAATGAGCTCTGCTTTGATATGTAATGTGGTATATGTATATGGCTTATAATGACTGCAGTTGTGGATCTGTGGTTGTGTGAACAAGCACAGCTCCAGCTCTGTAGTGTTGGATGAACTGTATAGCAGGCTTGATACTGATACTGATAATATTATTAAGTATGTATGGCCTGTCATAGGCGTATTTGGACCCGGGCAAGCACGGGCTTTGCCCGGGTAGAAATTTGCAGCCATAATTATATTCATTAGTTATTGTATTATACACAGTATTGTAACAGTGGGAGGACTGTTAACCACAATAGGTAGCACTGTTAACCACAATAATTTAGCACACACCTACATGTTACAAGTGTTTATTCAAGCACCAGGGCAGTTATAGGTCTTAAATTTAAAATGCATTTGCCCAAATTGCCCCAATCAATAGTTAAAGGTATAATTAATTAATTAGATATATGAATAATTAATTAATTATATAAATAATTAATTAAGTGCCCTAGTAGCTGGAGAAGGCTAGATACGCCTATGTGGCCTGTTTAAATAAAGAGAGGAATCATAACTCATAAGCTTTGCCTTGATATCCTGGCTTTGGTTGTGGTTGGAGAGGGACACTGTTAGATAATGTTCATGTATAAATGTATAGACTTTACCTTATACTACATGAGTAGGTAGCAAGAGAGTACATGTACATTGAGAGGAAGGACAAGCAGTATAAATCAGACAGAGACTGTGCATCAGAAGCAGTACTAGAAGAACTCATTAGTCATTATGCTGCTGAGAGAAAGAAAAGAACTCAACTATTTGTACAATCATTGATCAAGAAAAGAAATAACTATCTGGAAACAGTAACTATTCATTATGATTCTACTGCAAATGATTATCAGGTTTATAATGTGAGAGTCAACATGGTCAAGTTATGAGAGATGAGATGATGAAGACTCCATTTGATATTGATTTGAGTGTTTTTGTTGCTATGAGTGACTCCATGCATGCTGTAATAGATTATGTTGCACTCCAAAATAATGTTATATACAAATGAGAAAATGTCATACATTGAGCTCAAAACAGATAATAATAAATTTTTTAAATATTAATTGTGTGTTAAAGACATAAAAGAGATAGTTCATTGTTATAGTTAGTCTCTTGTTCAGCTACAAACAAATATTCTTCTTGTAATGGTAGACTCACAGAAGATGCTGCAGTCATCATAATTACTGGAGGAGTAGAAGATATATTACTAGGAAATACAAGTAGTGAATTGGTTGGATCTACTGCTTTAGTTGGCCTCTCCATCATGTACTATGTAGACTAGAGCTTATACTGCACTGATCACTGCAGTAGTGTACAGTGTTTTTATAGCATAAAAATAAACCGGAAGTCAAATTCAGTGTCCTC